ATCCATTCCTAATGTCCAGATGCACTGAATGTAAGATATGCTTTTGTCTTCAGTTTAATCAAAAAAAGCTACAGCAAGAAATACAGCGCTATCTTGAGACACAGAACACCAACTCCGAAGCCATTCCCAAGATACACTGATCAGTGCTTGGACTGCCAGATAGGCTCTATAACACAGGATAGATATTCTGCACTACACGGTCAATTCTTGCATTCTGAATGGTAACAATGGTAGTAAGCTTTCCTGTTTTTTTTTTTTTTGTTTGTTTGTTTTGGTTGGTTTGTTTGTTTTTTCAGGAACTAGGTTTTTTCCTGGATATGTAACAGTAACACAGTCTCCCTCCCATCCAGAAAAACTGTGTGGGAACCACTGGTCTGAGCCAGATGTGTCCAAGCTGGCAGTCCATTAAATGTAGCGCCTTTGCACACACATTTCACATTATGCAGATGGAGCCACCAGGATCAAATACACACAATGCCAATTTTTTTTGCAACTGGATAGGCACTGGGACCATGAAGACCTCCAAAACAACAGTTTACTCAAGGTATCTAAACCCCTTAGCATGGCTCTGAGATTTTTTTCAACAGGACATCTTCAACTGCTTATAAACAAATTAATTTCCAATCTGTTCTATTTCCTTCTCTTAGTCTTTTTCTCAGAATATGCTTCCAGCCATTAAACCATCCAAGCAGAATAAAATACGTCCAGGCATCAAAATGACTAATAGCCCCCCTAAAAATAAATCTGGAAAACTGAACTAGTGTGTACTGCATACATTTTTGTTTCACATTAAAAAAAAAAAAGGCTCTAATTCAGAAAAATGCTCTATTTCCATTTTTCATTTATGCAAATTACACTGAATAAATAAATCTACATAATCTCACCTCCTGCTAGACAACTTGCAGTAACATTTGCCAAAAGAAAGACAGGCTTTTCTGATACTAATGCATAAAACATGCCGAATAAAAAAATTAAAACAAATTATATTGAGTAAATAGCTGCTGTGCAGCTCTGGAAAGAATAATAGAAGGACTGTTCAGTTACTTCAAACATGCTAACAGTTAATGGTATATTCAAGTTAAGGTTTTAATTGAAACGGTCATATCCCAAACCACTGAAATCTGTTTTCCTTTAATTTCCATGGAACAGGTGTTTAGACCTCTCTGACGAAGCATTCAACAGTGTCAGGCTGTTGGTCCTGGAAGATCAACCTATTCAGCATGTAGCTGATGTACTGTGCAGGGGCTGCAGCTCCAGAAAAGCAGATCTCTTATGTAGTTTTGGGAATGTAGGAAGTGCCTTCTCCAATTTGATCAAAACCTCGCTCTGTGTGTCCTCTGTCCATGTAAGATAGAGCACTGGTGATTGTAAAGATTGCCACTGGTCTTGGGACTGTAACAGGGGAAGGATAAACCAAAATCAACAGCAGCATCTTCTGATTAGGTATCAGTGGCCTCTTCCCACTCTGACTGGATATGGTAGATGCTGAATGGCAACTCTTTTTCTTGATGGTCCATCTGGAAACTAGCAAACCCCAGTCATACTTGGGGCTTGGACACTCTCCAGTTACCTTTCAAATATCTTTTCACACTGGAAAATCTATTTTGGACAGCTGAATCCTTATGCTCTTTTCTCTACAGAAAGAAGACTGGTCAATGGGGTCCACCAAAAGGCTTGAGTGTTACAAACTGCATCATCAAATTTTTAGATGCTGTGATGCTTTGTGCACTTTGAAGATGACTTTTCTCAGAGGAGAAATCTAAGTTCCTTGCATGCTTCCTGGGGGCAGTAAGGTAAGGGATATATGAAGCCTACAGACTGAGTAAAAAGCTACCTAAGGATGCCAGTAAGAAATCTGAAGAAAATATGATTTAAGAACGTGTCTCTGCTAAGGCAGTCACAAGACTGGCAGTAAAACCAGTGTTTTCTAACAACTACCTGGAGGAGGAGAAGTTCTTTCTACTTGTTTACCGTATAGTCTACGGTTAAGAGCATACATCTGGGATATGTTATATCACCCACATCAACCAACTGCAAGGATAATTTCTCTTTTATAGACTATCTGGTGTTCAGACTGAGTTATTTACTGCTCCACTATGAATGAAAATACCACCAGGCAACTCTTCCTGCAAATTCTAGTGGGCTGGCTTGGAGAATTCTTCACACATCAGGTCCTTCAGACAATGTAGGATGGGCATACCTTGATGTGAGAAACATAGCATGGCAAATACCTTTGTCCTTGGAGACCTTACTAGCAGCGAGCTAAAGGGGCTGGAGAATCACAGTGAAGTCTCTATCCATCCAGGAGATTACTGCTAGAAAGGCTGGATAAGGTAATGTGAATTTCAGCCTTCCCAAACCTGTCGTATTGTATTTAAACCAATGTATTAAAAGTTTTTATTTTCAAATCCATTATTTTAAAACAATCTTACAAGTAAAACAGGTAAATCTGAAATAATTGTTGCTCATATTTTCAAGCTCATTTCTAACTGCTTGGGCTAGAAGCTTATTTTTCTCCTTTTTAAACAAGAGATAAGCTCCTTAATTAACCATAAAACTCCAGAAACCACAAATTAAAAAGAATCATTAAAAATTTTTGCTACTTATAATAAAAGGAGGAGAATTGACACTGTAGATTTTTGTGACAATATAAGATTAAATTTGTCTTACTGGTGATATGGGAATACTAAACTCCACAGATTAGAAATATAAAGGATGACTGAGATCTGAGACTGACTGTGGTCAGTCCTGACATGAGTAAGACACTGCTTCTGGAGTCCTTGATTTTCCTTGTTTACCTGTGCAGTGGCTGGTCATATTCCCTAGAGAGGTATAGATTCCCTCTGCTGGCACTCCAGAGCTTCCTAACCAGCACTTGGCAGAGAAGGACAAGAAAGGGAGTGGAAAGGACTGCTGTATCTTTTCTCCACAGCAGATACATAAAGTCTTCAAAAGAAGTTCAAGCTGCTTCCTGATCCAGGGCTACTTGAAGCTATTTGTTCATAGGAGTTTCCACATTTCATTTTTCTTAGATAATCTAGGTGCAGTTGAGCATCTCAGTATTCCCCAATGTGCTGCAAACTCCATAGTTTAGTTCTACACAAGGCAAAAACTAGAGGGTTTGGATATGGGCCTTAGTAACTGAATGATCATGGATCATTGCAAGCTTTTGATATGACAGACCCCTTTTCACTTTATCTTGTACTCTCTGGATAGAACAGGATATCCATTATTCCAAAATGCATGGCCTGCTAAAATACCCAGCCAAGTTATAACCAGATTCCACATCTTATTAAACCAGAGTTCTCATGATTTTTACAATCATCAGTGTCAGTCCTTCTGTCGCATAAAATGACCACTTGATTAGACCTTTCATCTGGCAGGGCTCATTTGCCATCTTGCCTTAACTGTGGCCACATGCCAGATCATGCTTATACTGGGTTAAAAGTGACCCATATATGAATTCCCACACAGTTTTTGTCCATTGTTTCCCTGACTTTAAATCTAGGACACAGCATAAGCCAGCTGTGCAAGTCATTGTCTCATGAATCAGCTTCTCACAAAGCGAGGGAAAAAACCCAACCTCTCCAACAAGCTGGCAGTACTGTTATAAGGTGATTGCCTAGAGAAGCCATTGGAGCTGCCACATGCACAAACTTGTTCAGACTAGTAAATGCTGAAATTTGCCTTTGTTTAAATCATCTACAGACTCTAGAATTAAGTGAAATGAATACACTTCAGAATATTTAAAAAACGAGGCATTTTATTTTTCACATAACATCCTGACTCTTATTGACAGTCTAGTCATGATCTCCCTTTCAAACTGCTTCCTTGTCTCTCTGATGTGATGGACAAGGAATTCGAAAGATCATAAACTACATGTAGGTTTTCAAACAATATGTTGATTGCCAGAAGAAAAATAAAAACCCAAACTGCAACACCACAGGTTATAATTAGAAGGACAGAAGGCTGATACATAGAATTATAGAATAGTTAGGGTTGGAAAGGACCTTAAAATCATCTAGTTCCAACGCCCCTGCCATGGGCAGGGACACCTCACACTAAACTATGTCACCCAAGGCTCTGTCCAACCTGGCCTTGAACACCGCCAGGGACGGAGCATTCAGAACTTCCTTGGGCAACCCATTCCAGTGCCTCACCACCCTTACAGTAAAGAACTTCTTCCTTATATCCAATCTAAACTTCCCCTGTTTAAGTTTTAACCCATTACCCCTTGTCCTATCACTACAGTCTCTAATGAAGAGTCCCTCCCCAGCATCCTTACAGGCCCCCTTCAGATACTGGAAGGCTGCTCTGAGGTCTCCACGCAGCCTTCTCTTCTCCAGGCTGAACAGCCCCAACTTTCTCAGCCTGTCTTCATACGGGAGGTTTTGCCTACATATAAAACAATAATGGAAAAATATGAGAACAGATGTGTTCAGCAGCGGCAGGGGCTTGTAGAATTTGGTCTCGTGTTTCAGTGGACAGATTTTTCTACCCACAATATTAAAACCAATCTGATGCTCCCCACGGAGGGTATCTTCTCACACGCCAGCCAGCTCCGGCGGACCGAGCTCACCCTGGAGCGCTCAGCCTCGCTGCCTCCAGCCCGGTCGGTGACTCCGTCCGGTTTGACCTCCGCTGTGGAGAGCGGGAGCACGTACAGACGGCGGCGGGCGCATACCCCAGTTTATGGCCTCTTCTCTCCCCAGCCTTCTGCCGGCACCTGCTCCCGTGGGCCAAGGCGGGTAGTGCTGGAGGCGGCGGCCGGTGGCAAGCGCGGGGGGAAGCCAATGCCGGCGGGCCGGCGGCGCCAGCGAGGCCACCCTGAGGTGACCCAGCGAGAGGCGGGAAGCAAGGCGGAGCAGGCCGGCCAGGACCACACAAACACCCAGATCACAGGAACGCCGGGAGCCAGCGGGCCGGGGCCGGGGCCGGGCGGGGCTCAGCGGGGCGGGGCTCGGCTCGGCTCTGCAGGCGGCCCGGAGCCGGGTGCGGGCAGGGCGCAGGCGCGGTTGAGGCCGCTTGCCTCCCATCAGTCTCCGCGGGCAGTGGGACGCCGTGCTAGAGTGGTGGGTTGAGCATGTCGGAGAAGAAGCAGCCGGTTGACCTGGGGCTCCTGGAGGAGGACGACGAGTTTGAGGAGTTCCCGGCCGAAGGTGCCGGGAGGGGCGGGGACGGAAAAAGAGGCGGCAGGGCTGGGGGTGAGGGCGGTGCTACCGGTAGGCCGCGGCCTCTGTCGGGCCGGTCGCCAGAGGCGGGAAAGGAGCATTGGGCCTGGGATGGGGGGGGGAATGGCGGCAGGGCCTAGGCGCGGATCGTCTGCGGTGCCGTGCCCGTGAGCAACCCTCAGAGCCTCTGCGGCGGTATGAGACGTCCCCGCATACCCTGCTTCAGCCGTACGGAAGCAGCTTTGTGGTGCTTCGCGTTTTCTGCCCCCCCCCCGTCCCGGTCCGAGGTGCGGAGCTGCGGCGCCTCGGAGTCGGGTTCAAGCTTAACTGTGTTGACGGTGCACGGTGGGTGGGCTTCACGGTGCTGGGCACGCCGCGTCCGAAGTGCTGTGTCACTGTGCGGGAGAGCTGGATTCGAGCGCGGGGGATGCGCTGCTCCTCGGCGCTCCAGATGGGAGTCGCTGGGGATAGGAGGGCGAGGGCTGGGAACCGAGTGTAACGGGGAAACGAGTGAAAAGGAAGTAATGTGCTCTGGAGTTAGCGTGAATCGCTTTGCGTTTTAAAGCGCAAATATTTATGTGTTGGTTTGCTTTGCACAGGTACAAGTATATTTAATGAGGAAATTAAATCCGGACTTTGATAAAATATTTCGTGTCTTTCTACAGATACAATCTTAAGAAGATCCCTATAAGGGCATGATTGTTTTCTAGGTCCTTAATTCTGGAAACTGTCTCAAGCTGTGGATAATAAAAAATGACCTAAAATATGATGGATGCAATGTCAAGGTTGCTTTGCTTTTTCTGTGGCCTCACAAGCCTTATGTGTTCTGACTCCTTTAGTACCAGTAAAAAAAATGTTTTTGTGCTTCCTGACAGATAAAGTTCTTAACATAGTTGAGATGATAGCTAAGCTAAACTGAGAAGATTAGCCCTTCTTTTCCCTATGTGTTTACTAAACAGGTAAAAAATGTTTATCTTATTCAATGTAAATTAAGTATTTGCAGTGGGGTGAAGCAGCCTGCTTCTGAACCAGCCTTGGTCAGAGTACTGAATTGCTGTTACAGAAGGTGAAATTAATTCTACTTGACTCTAACTGTACTTCTAAAACCAGGTACCTTACAAACTTTCTGGGCAGAAGAGAAGTTTATTAAAGAGTGAACACCATCAGGCTTTTTGCAGATCTCTCCTGCAAAAAAAAGAACTACCTAAAGAGGCCCATTTAAATCTTCAAGTGAAGTGGTATTTTTGAGATGTTACAGTGAATGTGTAGGCCACTTTGAATGTTGTCTTCAGTGTTTAGGAAAGAATCATGATAACTGTGTGCTCAAACCCATGTCAAATTGGTTTTCTCTCAAATTAAAACACTGCTTTCTATGCAGGAGAAAACATTTGCATTCTATTACCCAGCTTTTATTCAAAGAAAATTAGGTAATGCAAACTTGCATTAAGGGATTTTGGGGCATTTCTTTGACTTTAAACAATTTATCAAATCAAGTTTATATATCAGAAACAGACGTGTCCTATTTTTATAGGACATTTTATTTCAAGTAAGTACAGTGTGGTAGATTCAAGTCTATGTGAACTGGTCACTTAAGAACTTTTTGTACAGTGCTTTTCACAATGTAAAATGCAATGTATGAATTTACAGGCTTTTCTGGTTTGTTTGGTTTTTTTTCTTGTTTTTTTTTGTTTGGTTGGTTTGTTTGTTTTCTTTTCCCAAATGTAAAATATGGCAGTCTGTGATCAGTGGTTTTTTTTTTAGGAGTCCAGCCATGACAAGTTTATCAAAATTGATTTTGTAATTTTGGTGTATATGGCAGCAGTGCTTAATGGTAGCAGGCTCTTGAATGCTTCTGACACTTTCAGTCCCAGATAATGCTATGTAGTTTTTGACTTTTATTTAGTCACAGGCATGTAATACAACTGGGAAGAATAGTATGCAATTCTGGGATATAGTGTCAACATACAGATACTGTAGAAACTTGTCGCTATAGCAATGAGAATATAATTTAGGTTTTACTTTCATTGTCCCCTATACTCCCCAGTGAGGAAGGTGACATGGGCCTTTTTGACTCTTCTTTACTCAGTGTGTGATCTGGAGCATATTTTTGCAGACTCCTCAGCTGACCTTTTGTGATTGAAGCTGCTGCTGTGCCAGATGCTAGTTACTAGGGTTTATATTCTTTTCAATTTGTAGATCTGAAGTACTTGTGTGTTAGTAGATAGTTTGATTTGGTACTCAATTTAAACAGTTGAGCTTTGCTTTTGGTATCTGTGAAATCCAGGTAAATGGTGAGTGACAAAGCTTTTTTATTTTGACAAAAATAATCCATTGAGTACAAACAAGTGAAACTTACTGCAGATAGTTCTAAAATAGAAGTCCTTGCCTTTGAGCATCTAGCAAAACGACCACATTCAAATAATGCATTTTTATGCTGTATTTTTTCTTTACCTTCTTTTTCAATTCCTTCTTTTGCTGTCCTTAGACGAGAAGGATTTCTGTGCTCCTTCATATTTTCCCATTGTCCAGTTTATTTGAGTAGGGAAGTTTAATTGTAATGCCTTGTATGTGTGTGTGTCTAATCAGTTACAAATGGATTTTCCTGTCCTGGTGAATCTCAAATACTAATTTTATTGCCTGTCATTGTTAGAAAAAGGAGGAGAAAATGCAAGGACCTGCCTTCATTCTTAGAAAGTTAGTTGTTCACAGTGTTTAATCTTTTACCCTGCTAGTTCTCCCTTACCACCCATTGATGTTTAATGTTACTTTGGGCCTTAGTCCTCAAAGCTTTCTCTGGATGGGCAGCAGGTGGCTTACTGAATTGTAAGGGAAGAATAGTGTTATCTCTTTAAATATATTAACAGTCATTCAGAAATACAACGTTACAAGTATCAAAATCAGGGGGGTGCTTATTTTGGTAACATTGGGAAAATTTGGTGTCTTTCAGTAGGAGAAAAGTGAGAAACTGTTCACCAGTGGAGTAAACCAGCTGGTATTTATACAGTAATTCTGAGACTTTCTGAGTATTTTTGTTATTTTTCTAAAGTAAGTAATTATTTTCATCTTTTTTTTTTTTTGAAATAATGAATCATTAAGTGGGTGGCGAGTAATTTGCCAATAGGGATGTGCCAGATTATATTATAGGAAAAATAACAGGTTAGCAAGTGAACATTTGGTGTCTTTCCTCTGTAAGGAAAGAGCTTCTGCTGTCTTGTGAATCCAGAAGTAGCTGGTTCCAGGTAGCAACTACTGTTTGCAGATGCCTGTCTCAATTTACTTTTGCTTCTGCATTGCAAATACTTTTTTGGCATTTATCCATAGACTGACTGCATGTGATCTGAATGAAGTGAGGATCTGTGTGTACTTGTATTGGCAGAAGCAGTTGATACATATTTACTTCTTTAATCAGACAAAAGTGCGTAAATACAAACCTGGAATTGCACACCTTTGTTGAGCTTTTAGGAGTCAAGTACTCAACATTACTTTTTACAGTGCTACAGCTTGTCCATTTGTGTGCAGAATGTCTTATGAATGTGTAGTGTAATCCTAAAAGCTATGCTGTGAAGTGTGTAATGATTTTCTTAACCAAGTTGCATTTTTTTATTAAAGAAATTGTGAGGTGTGTTTCAGATCTATGTCTTATAAACACGTAACTTTAACAGAAAAGTCTGGATCATATTTATCAGCAGAAGTCTACCTTACCCAAGGCTGAGCTAATCCATCAGTAAGACACAGTACCAAAGCAGTGGAGCATACAATATTTAGACTGCTTTTCCTGTCTTTAGACTGGACTGGTTTAGATGAAGATGAAGATGCACATGTCTGGGAAGACAACTGGGATGATGACAATGTAGAAGATGATTTCTCCAATCAGCTAAGGTAACTTTAACTTTCTGTTCTAGAAGACCGGTAAAATGTTAAAAATGGCATATCTGTTTGAAATCTGCTTACTTAAAAAAGGGATCTGAAACTGAAATAAATGAAAGCTCTGCTTTGTGCTTTTTTTATCTAAAGCCTTTCAGAACCAGACTTAAGGGACTGCAGCACAGTGAAGCATTTCATCTTTTAATCATTGTACTGTGAGCCCTGAAATATGCCTTATGTCATTGACGTGTTCAGGCTTCTTCTGTGTTATGCAACTTAAACAGTACAGAGTCTCTCCAGATTGTGATGCAGTTGACACTTCTTTTCAATTTAACATGAATAAATCCTTTTCTAAGGACTTTTCTACATATGTGTGAAAACTCAATTGTGCTGGAAACATTAATGGCAAGGGATCCAAGATTCTCTTCTGTGCTATGTGGTATATGAAGTATGTTGTTACAGATTTTTTTCTGTACTCTCAAGTGACATTGCTGCTCTCTGTCCAAATGGACAATTTTTCTAGAGGTCAATTATTTGTATAAATGTTATGGTTCCCTTCTTGTGTGTAATCATCATGATGTTAATGAGCAACAGCAGCAAAGTAACTGTTCACGTACTTTTAAGAAAGTGATAATAATTTGGGTACCTCTAATCCAGTTGTTTAATCCTCTTTGTCCCTTATAGTTTCAGTTAATCCTTTACTGAGGCATAATTATAACTTGAATTGTTTCAGGCATCAATACAAAGTCACATTTTATAATAACCCCTCATATGTTGCGTGATGAGCAAACAATCTGTAATACAGCCTGATTTAAACAGTTCCTAGGTTGATCTCCCTTAAAAAAAAACCCTCTGTTAAAAGCAGTCCTTTGTGTAGAAATAACCTTTGGTGTAATTGTTTCTTACAAGGTTGAAAGGCAGTTTAATATTGGAAAACAAATTGATACGTAGTGAAACACGCTATCAAGGGATGGTGTAACTCTTGATGAGCCTGGCTGATCTTGACAAACCTTCAGTAACTGTACCTTAATTGTAGCCTATAGTGTTGGTGACTGTATGCTAGTGCTACAGTGATAGTTTGCAGTGTTTCTTGCTTGCAGTGTGGTTTTCTTTCATCTTTAGAAAGAAAATGCTGCAGTCTTTCTAAAAATTCCACTGCTAAGTATATAAACCAGCCTGAAATATTTTTAGACTATGGTATCCAGATACACTTATACTAAGGCTAGAGATAAAATGAGGTGCTTTTCTGTCTGATGTGTTAGGAAGTATTTTTGTTTAAAACAAGGAAGAAGTTAAAATACTTTTGGAAGCACATGCATTTAAATCACTCAGATTAGTGAGCTTGTTTGGTTTAATAAAACCTTGAGAATAACTATGTAAGGTGCAATTTTATGTCCTCTAATGCATCTAGAATTGTTGCAGGCTCACAGGTGTTGCTTTGTGCTGTATTTGTACTCCAGCTATGGTGGGTCAGAGAGCATTAACTGATTAAAACAAGTATTTGGATTTTTCAGTTGAGAAGTCACTTGTAGTGATCCAAGATACTAAGCTGAAGAACTTGGAGAGTAAGTGAGGTTAAGGTTGTTGGTATGAACTGAAAAGCAGTATTGCATGTTCATATTCTAAAATGATTGCATATTGTGCAATATATTTAATAAAAAAGTCAAATGTCTGACAGTATTTTATTTATAAGTTTTAACATGCCTATCTTTTTTTCTATACAGAGCTGAATTAGAAAAACATGGATACAAGATGGAAACTTCATAGTTTTTGCTGAATATGGAGTGGTTTAACATTGAACTGTGGATAGACTATATGGAGAAAAGAAGAAAAGGTGGAGAATGAGAAGACACAATTCATTATCTGCTTGGATTTATTATTGTTTTATATGAAAATAAAGTTTTTAATCTTAGCATAGTGATATGTTCAGCCTCTAATAACCTGGTAACTTGTATTTCAGTTCTGAAATGACTTGTGTGACAGAATTCATGGACTTGCCTAGAATTCTACTAATGATGGTGGTTGATGCTTTTGCACCAGTTTCCGTCATGGGGAGCTAGAGAAGCACCGGTATTAAGACTAGTGAATGCTTGTGGTAGGGGATGTGGAGCTATCATAAAGAAATAAAATACTCATGTATTCCAATTTAAATGCAGCAGCAGTAGAAAGGAGTTTTGGGGAGGGATAAAGCTCACTTTGCCTCAAGATTTTCTTTCATAATGATTGTTCTTATTTTTGTTGGTAATTTCATGTGAGAACCAGTTTAATAGACTCAGAAGCTAAAACACACTTGAAGGTGCATCTTACAACAGCAGAAATCCGAACTCTCTAATCTTGTCCTGTCATTTCTCAAGCCTGTTAGAGATGAGACCTCTCTGGAGGTGAAAGAAGTTCTGTTCTCATGCTTGTTTAAGCCTAGGAATCTCTGCTGAAATTGCCTCCAATTTGCCTTTTACAGCAGTTCCTCTATCACACAGACGTGCCTGCTGAGAACGGAAATCAAACTTCCAACTCATTTCATGGAGGCCAACAAATAGTTGCCAAATAGATACAGCAGCAATGACTGGATTCGATTACACTTTGAACTAGAAAACAGAAGGTGAAAATTGCAAAAACCTATTACCAGTTCTATGAAGCCTCCCCAAAGGAGCTGTTAAAGCTGATGTGTGCCAAGGCATAGGGAGATGTGGTGATCCTGGAAGTGTAGGCCATGATTGCAAATTATTAATTATTTCTTTTTTTTAATAAGGGGGCAAATAGAGCTATATACTCATGGAATTTGAATTAGCTGCGTGCTTTTTCAGCAGTTCCCTGTAGGAAAGAGAGATGTTATTTAAAGTGAGCTTTCAGAATAAAGGTGTTAGTTGGTGGACCTGCAGTAATGGTATTAAATGCTTTGTTAACTAAATAACCGAGTGGTTTATGTTATAATTGTATTTATTAATGCAGAATGCTAGGAAACTTCCCCCTCCCCAAATTATGTGGGTGGTGCTGTATTTATGGTAGAGGGAGGATTCGCTGTGCTCTGTACTGCTTTCTGACGATGGCTCTGTAAAGACTGTGATCTCCCATTGTCATCTGAGTGGTTCTGCAAAGCATAATGTTCCAGACCATGTTGGATACCATCATTTCTGTGCTGCTTGGGAAAAGAAAGGGAGGCTGTTTAAAGCAGATTTTCCCTATGCTCACGAAAGTGACTTGTTCAGATTGAAATGTGTGGCTCATGCAAATTCCTCAAAATCATATTTTGACAAGTAGCAAATGAGAACTGTGTATTGAGCATCAAGTAACAATGCAAACATCTTTGAGTTAGGTGTGGGAGCTTAAGAAAAGAAGTATGTTTAGTACAGTTCTGGGATTGTTGACGTTATCAACACATCAATATTGGGAAGGTGAGTAATGAAGCTGACCAAAAGAAGATGACAGAATTACGAAGATGTCTGATGCAATGTTTGGGTAGGGACAGTTGCTTTCCATTATGGGGTTCTGGAAACCTGGCTAAACCAGCCCAGTTGGTAGCAGCAGGATGAAACCACAGAGGTGGAAAAGCATCTTTCCCTCAGGAAATCTTATTTTTTGCTGAGCCACAGTTGTCTTCTGCTAGTTATTTTTTTGCTTTCTTCACAAAAGCAGAACTGAAAGGGAAACCTGGGTTGAGGTAGCTTGATGGCTCTGTGCTCTTGCAGTAACAGTCTTCAGCTGCTAGCACATGACCTGAAACCCCAGCTAGGGAAAAAAAGAGTGCAATGTGCTCTGAAGGTAGGTTTGATGATACGGTTATGTAATGCTTTCTCCATAAGAGAATTTATTGCAGAGGAGTAAACAAGGAGTCATGTGTGGAGAGCTGTGAGAATGTAGCTTATAGCAAAGTCAGGCACTCCATGGCAGCTGATGGCCTGAATAATTACCACTGGAGTCTTAATGTGTTTGCCCTGAAGTTTATTACATGGTCAAATGGTTCCTCTTAAAGTTTCTAGTATAGTAATTACTTGGGAACCTTTCTACTTCAGTTTGGCTGTTTCATTTCTTTCTGAAAGTTTTAAACCCCAGCTGGTATTGAGACAAGGTAAAGTTTTTTTTGTCCTTTTTTTGCCATTTTTGACAGCTTTGGTGTTCCGAAAGGAAGGTGATGTCGTTGGCCAGCCCATCACGGTACCAATTCAGCCTACTTTGCCTGCTATACAGCTTTAAAAGGAGCTAATCTTCCCATGTGCTTGGAGGTTTGTTTTTTTAGATTGGCCATGCTGGGAGAGGTTTTCTTTGGAGGTGCTTCCTGGAGATACTTCAGTGATCCCTGTTAGCCGAGGAATGTGTGGGAGATAAGAATGCTTTGGGGGTGTGAGGGAGGGCATGCTGAGAGAAGACAGGGAATAGGGAAGGAGGATCTGCAGCCTGGCAAGGGTGGTGGAGTGAGGGAGGTTTGGCAATGATCTGAGCAGAGGATGGCTTGGTCTGTCTAGTTGAGAAAGTAGGACAACATGCAGAGATGCGTGTGTGGCTATTGTCTGGGCTGTCTGGGTAGTCTTTGTTCCCCATTGTGGGAAGGAGATTCAGGTCAGAAAGAGGTTGATGTTGCCCTGTGTTTGAGTACCTAACCTCCTCACCAGCCCACCCCTCAGCTGAGCCGTGAGACTGGGGCACAGTGTCATCAGCCTGAGCCATCCAGGGTATGTGGCATGCGCCTACGGCTCTCCTCTGTGTGAAGACTGAAGTGGTGTTTTGCAGTGTGGGGAAGGTTGACTCACTCTGGCCTAGATGCCGTGGATGTCCTAAGGGAAGGCACTGTTCAGCTGCCTCAGAGGAAAGCTCCAAATGGTCCCTGATTGCCACCCAATTCGGTGCTCTCCCTTTACATTGATCCTTAAGAAGCTATACACACTTAAGAAGAAATGCAAGTCACAGACAAGCACACAAAATGGTGAGCAGCCTGAATTAAGGCTGAAATGCCTTCATGTCCCCTCTTTGTCTCAGAAAAGCCCTTGCTGTTTCCCATTGAGCCCCTGCCTCCCTCTGCTAGCTTGCACAACAGCACCAGCAGCTTCCCAAGATACTTTCTGTGCCTGGGTCACAATGTGTCCTGCTCCCTACCTACTATGCCATGTCCACATCCTGCTGTACAGAATGAGTGAGTTTGGGTCTCTTGTGATCACAGCAGCCTGTGTACTTTGCAAATGCTCTAACGCATTTTCCACCATCACTGGGAGACAGGGAAGTGTTTTCCCCTCTTTGAAGTGTATGCTAGATTTAAGTGCTGGGTGTGAGACCCCAGGACCTCATGTTTCACTGGATTCGGTACTGTGTAAAAAGCTCTGCACGTTCAAATGTTTCTTTAGCTTCAGTTACTGCTGTGCATATTCAGCATTTCTGCCTATCAGGATTTATGGGGTATCAAGCCAGCCACCCAGAAAAGGAGGAACACGCATTACAACCTTAGCAGCTTTTGTAAGGAATGAGGCAAGGACTCCACAAGTCGCTACCTTCCCCTGCTAGCTTTTTCTTGGACCTTATTTTTTCTTATCCTGTTTTTTCTTGAGCACTAACAAGGACTAATAAGTCCCCTGAGGGAGGGGGTGAGTATAGAAAAATATATGGTCATAAAATTAAAGACTATGAGAATACATATGTATGGAAAAAGGAATTTATATGGCATGGAATTACAGTTCCAGCATTTCCTATCTTTTAAGTGTCTGACTTTACAGCCTGAATAATAATCTTTTAATGCAGGTATGGTTTTGTGTTTGCATAATAATACAGCTAAATTTGATTTAATTCCAAGGCATGCAGCGAAGTAAGAAGATTGATGCCCAGAAAGTTTTGTGATGGAGTTTAACTGAAGAGTGAATGTTATGTAACATTTCAAACACACCAAGATCCTTCAAGATGAAGTGTGGGATATAAATGTAAAATATTTGCAAACTATAATTTAGCAACCGTTTTAAAATCACAGTCAGAATTGCAACCTCTTACATGCGGTGGGTGAGATCCTTTGTCAACTGAGAGCTAAGGGCAGTGAATGTGAGATTCATTAAATAATTACATAGGAACATTAATTTCAAATTAATTTCAACAGTTGTTTTAGACATTAGCAACCAAATTAAGAGACCAAAGGCAAACAGTAATGCAGCTTAATACTTTTAATAAATGAAGGCATTTGAAGTGATTTACATAAATCAGATGATAAACCCTCATTTAATGGGCTTCCAAATGCTCCCCGCCTCCCCTTCCCGTTCACCTTTGCACATTTCCAGGATGTGGCCATGCTCCACATCTCCCCGGCTCTCTCATTACATCATGCTTTTCTCCAGTCCTTCCTACGCTGGCTTCATAACAAACAGTCAGGCTTTCTGGAATTTGTTAGCGTGAGCTGGAACCTTTTAATGCTTCTGAATCTGCAGCGCTGGGAGGCATGGGGAAGGAATGGAGCCACCATTGACAAGGCTCCCGGGAAAATAAATGGTGGAGAATAAAAAAGCAGATTAGGGTATTGGGGGATGCTTGCCTACAGGCAGGGCAGGGAGACGAAAACCAGCCCATCAGCAAGTGAATGGGTCACATGTAATGGATAATGACCAGCTCTTTTCATCTTTTCTACAGTGAGCTCAGGGCCCTTAATGAGAAGGAACAGGCACTGGTCTGGATTTACATTGCACCTGATGGAGGCACAGCAGCTCTGTGACTCACCATGGATATGAAACCGATACTACAGCCACCAGCCTTGGGGTCCTCTAGCCAGGAGCAAAATGAAAGCACTTCCTTCCCCAGGGAGCTGATAATCTGTGAGATGTAAAAGGCAAAATAGGGTTGATGGGAAAAGTGGGTGGTGGGCTGTGTTTTCTAAGCCACCTTTTCTACCTGAAGGTTAAGATGGGAAAGGATGAAACTCGCTCCTAAGCAGAAAGCAGCATCTGAGAG